TAAATCAAATAGCAAAATGATCCTTGGTATGACCTTCTTAAAGCAATTCCACATAGATATAGAACCCCCCATCCCCCGCCTTAGACAGGGCTTAGACGGTTTAGTGGCAGAAATAACAAACTTCCTTTAGATTTTTTGTATATTTTTTGGATACTTCAAAAATTATTTGTCCTCATTTATCTATTTATTGTTTTCATATATTAGTAGCTGTGAGGCTAGGAAAAAGCCCCCCCTAACAGGTTACAAATGTGTGTTACAAAATACAACACTCCCAGGAAACAACCACATACATTTTGTAGGCCTATTGTTTATACTGTTTTAGAAATTATAATTTGACTAATGTTTCTGATGATATAGCCGGGACTCTATGAAAACCTGTGAGTTTCTCATATTTTATTTGTGTTTATTGCTGTTGTTTGTTGAGAGGGACAGTTGTTGGATTTGCATGAGACACAATTAGACTAGCTTAAACATGTGTTGAAACAGTTCTGTAGATAGTATCATGCTTTATGCTTTGGGCTATGGCTGTGTATATAAAATGCCTCACTGAACCACAAGATGGTGATACTGTATTTGCATGGCATGTCGATGTACACTACCGTTCAAAAGTTTGGGGTCACTTAGAAATGCCCTTGTTTTCGAAAGAAATGCATTTTTTTGTCCATTAAAATAACATCAAATTGATCAGAAATACAGTGTAGAAATTGATCATGTTGTAAATGGCTATTGTAGCTGGAAACGTCTGATTTTTCATGGAATATCTACATAGGCGTACAGAGGCCCATTATCAGCAACCATCAGTCCTGTGTTCCAATGGCACGTTGTGTTTGCTAATCCAAGTTCATCATTTTAAAAGGCTTATTGATCATTAGAAAACCCTTTTGCAATTATGTTAGCACTGCTGAAAACTGTTGTGCTGATTAAAGAAGCAATAAAACTGGCCTTCTTGAGACTAGTTGAGTATCTGGAGCATCAGCAATTGTGGGTTTGATTACAGGCTCAAAATGGCCAGAAACAAATAACTTTCTTCTGAAACTCGTCAGTCTATTCTTGTTCTGAGAGATGAAGGCTATTCCATGCGAGACATTTCTGATCAATTTGATGTTATTTATTTTTTTAATGCTTTTCTTTCGAAAACAAGGACATTTCTAAATGACCCCAAACTTTACAACGGTAGTGTAATGCTGTAGACTTCCTTCGACTACAAGACATCCATTCTAAAAGTGTTATCAGATATACAAACTGCTAGTGTTTGAATGTGACATAAACACTGCTAGTGAATGAATGAGACATGAATACTAATAGTGAATACGACTAGCTTTAGATAGATAAACCAAGCAGGGGAAAAAAATGTCACGCAGGGCGATACATACATTTTTTTAATAAAATGGATATAAGCCTGAGAGACATGAGAGACAATCACCTGCTGCTTTATTGGCTCTGTAACAAATTACATTATGGAATTCATCAGGCCAACTGCATATAATAGAGCTTGACAGCACCTGTTTGTCTCTATTTATTTGGATCCCATATTGTGAGGTATTTCAGACTATCATGATAGGGCCAAAAGAAAATAGGTGCAAACACAGAAACAGATTAACAGACCTTCACCTTGCATGGAGCAAACAACCCAGCATGCTGACTGGATCACAGGCACACACTCACACACACACACACTGCAACATCTCTCCCAAACATTTCAGTACAGGACCTGCTGCTGTTTATAATGTAGTAGTTCCCTCTTGAACCATTTGGCTGTAGTTTTGCTCCAGTTTACAATACAGCCTTCGGAAAGTGCATTCGGAAAGTATATAGACCCCTTGACCTTTTCCACATTTTGTTACGTTACAGCCTTATTCAAAAAAAAAAAATGTTTTATCCTCATCAATCTACACGCAATACCCCATAATGACAAAGTGAAAACAGTTTTTTTGAAATGTTTGCAAATGTATTAAAAATAAAAAACAGAAATACCTTATTTACATAAGTATTCAGACCCTTTGCTATGAGACTCGAAATTGAGTTCAGGTGCATCCTGTTTCCATTGATCATCCTTGAGATGTTTCTACAACTTGATTGGAGTCCACATGTGGTACATTCAATTGATTGGAAAAGCACACACCTGTCTATATAAGGTCCCACAGTTGATAGTGCATGTCAGAGCAAAAACCAAGCCATGAGGTCGAAGGAATTGTCTGTAGCGCTCCGAGACAGGATTGTGTCGAGGCACAGATCTGGGAAAGCGTACCAAAACATTTCTGCTATCATTGAAGGTCCCCAAAAACACAGTGGCCTCCATCATTCTTAAATTGAAGAAGTTTGGAACCACCAAGACTTTTCCTAGAGCTGGCTGCCCAGCCAAACTGAGCAATCGGGGGAGAAGGGCCTTGGTCAGGGAGGTGACCAAGAACCTGATGGTGACTCTGACAGAGCTCCAGTTCCTCTGTGGAGATGGGAGAACCTTCCAGAAGGACAACCATCTCTGCAGCACTCCACCAATCAGACCTTTCTGGTAGAGTGGCCAGATGGAAGCCACTCCTCAGTAAAAGGCACATGGCAGCCCGCTTGGAGTTTGCCAAAAGGCACCTAAAGGACTCTCAGAATCTCTGGTCTGATGAAACCAAGATTGAACTCTTTGGCCTGAATACCAAGCGTCATGTCTGGAGGAAACCTGTCACCATTCCTACAGTGAAGCATGGTGGTGGCAGCATCATGCTGTGGAGAAGTTTTTCAGCAACTGGGAAACTAGTCAGGATCGAGGGAAAGATGAATGGAGCAAAGACAAGCGAGATCCTTGATGAAAACCTGCTCCAGAGCGCTGAGGACCTCAGACTGGGTCGAAGGTTCACCTTCCAACAGGACAACGACCCTAAGCACACAGCCAAGACAACGCAGGAGTGGCTTCGGGACAAGTCTCTGAATGTCCTTGAGTGGCCCAGCTAGAGCCCGGACTTGAACCCGATCAAACATCTCTAGAGAGACCTGAAAATAGCTGTGCAGCGCCGCTCCCCATCCAACCTGTCAGAGCTTGAGAGGATCTGCAGAGAAGAATGGGAGAAACTCCCCAAATACAGGTGTGCCAAGCTTGTAGTGTCATACCCAAGAAGACTCGAGGCTGTAATCGCTGCTAAAGGTGCTTCAACAAAGTACTGAGTAAAGGGTCTGAATACTTATGTAAATGTCATATTTCAGTTTAAATTTGTTATAAATTAGCAAAAATTTATAAAAATATGTTTTTGCTTTGTAATTATGGGGTATTGTGTGTAAATTGATGAGGGGAAAAAACGATTTAATCAATTTTATAATAAGGCTGTAACGTAACAAAATGTGGAAAAAGTCAAGGGGTCTGAATACGTTCCCAATGCACTGTAGCAGTCTCACCACATGCATGGGAAAGTCATTGCAGTGTGTCTGCCATTTACAGCAAGCTAGATGTATGCACAATTAGCTAATTATACAAACACATCGCCACATCTCCAAGGCCATTATCAACTCGTTGATGTGAGTTGCCTAATTCTCAACACATTTGGCTCACTGTATTGTTTTATTGAGGGCTGTATAGCCAACTCCTATAGCCGTTGTCATGTTTGGCATGAAAATGAGTATAGGAGTTGTCAAAAAAGCACAAACAGATCTGGGATCAGACTAGACTAGCAATAGGATGTCATGTGAAATTTGCATTATAATGAAGAGGGGCATTTGTGTGTCATATCTGGAGGCTTGTGGGGGTCAATTGGGAGCGGGGGTAGGGAATGTCTTCAAGGAATGATCCCTTCTCTCTTTGTGAACTAGTGAGCAGCAGATGTCATTCGATTAAACGTCTTTCACATGAAATTGCTCACATAGAACTTCACTTGATTGGTTTATTGAGGATTTGAAATGCCCTGTTTACTAAAAGGAAGTTTCTTACAATTAGATATTTTAAGAGAGGGGGTCTATAATAACATCAGGGTTGACTAGGCCTACATCATTGTACTTTACTCTATGGAGAGGAAATATAATAATATCTAGATGTGTTTTTGTGCTCCTCATGTCGTGCTGCTTATCAGTAGGTTATAAAAGCATGTTATTTTTACAATTTTAGTTTCGAAATGGGTAACTTTGTCCCTAAAATGACCGCACATGGACATACTATTCCTTTAAGGCTGGGTACGCCCTGCGTGAACTGTTTTATGCAAATATATGCGGAATGTAACAATCGCAACTTTCTTGGGACCAATCAAAGACGCGCTCTAACCGCGGGAGATCCAAATTTCGCGGGACGAAATTTGGCGCTAAAAAAGCAGTTCTTCCGAGCTCCAAGTCTCTTGTATCAAAAGCTAAGCTTTTTAGCTAGACAGAGAACCGGACAGTGACAATATCTCCTCAACGGAAAATCTGAAGAATCCTCCTAAACTTTGTATTTCTGGAGGAATCTGCATCTCAAGACGTAAACTTCAAAGTTTGCCCATTCAGGACTTGCAAATATAGGGAGTGCTTGTTGTTTATTTATTTAGCTATTAAATAATTAGCTAGCTAGACAAAGTTTACGTTTCCTCTCAACTGGACAAATCAAGGATAATATCGGTTGCAATGCTACAGTAGGCAAGTCGTTTAATTTCTGAAAATACTAAAGCAAAGTATATATCCGGTGATTAGCTATTTCACTTATGCATTTTGCACATTATTAACTAAATAGCGTTTTTATGAAATTCTTAGGACTTTTATCAAACTAGCTACGAATTGTGAGACATCGTTTCCAGTTCGAATCGGAAAAACTGCAACTCCTCTCATTCACTGTCGTGAGTACGGATTTCTGGAATATTTGGCCTTTGCTACTAGCAAAACGTATTTTAATTTGAACACAGTCGTTATTTTAATTGACTAAAATGATACGGCTGCCCAAAGGCGTTTCTCCTGCGTCTGGCCGAGGTGCTGTAGGAGGACTGTCGTTTTCACAGAATAAAGTTTTGTCCGGAGTGAAGACAGAATTCTTCAGCACCGGGTTATCCAGTCCACCGATGAACTCTGTACCGGCTGGATACTTCACCCAAATCTGCAACACGACAGCGGCCGAACAAAGGGTGAACTGCCTCTATGCAACCCCCCATGGACCTGAAGCTAAACCCATCAGATCATGCTCCGGCAGACTACCGGTAAGACTTTAATAAAGGATGATGCAACTACCAACAATCGATATTACTGTTATCCACCTTATAATTAACGTTACTGACTATACAATATATCAAATTATGGGTAAAATATTCTTGAATTGCACTGGTATGAATATATTTATCGGAGTTGTGCTGTGCATGACATTTAAAAACTGTTTGACATTATCAGGCAACGTCACGGAAGCAGCGTGCACTCTGTGGCAATGAATGGGTTGTGATATTTTCGCGTGGCTTGAGAAACAAGCTTGTTTCGGTGACCTTTCTCCCGCAGCCCAGCTGTAATAGGCACAGAGGGTTGGGGTGTCCCCCCCTGTAAAAATATTTGATGAATACCCCTCAGTAGGGGTTAGCTAGGACTGGGGGTATCACTGAATTTAACAATGCCCATGGCTAATTTCACCCCGATTTGTAGAGGGAGATTTCTCCTTCTAAATGTCCATTTATAGTTACACCTTACATGAATGAGGAAATGCTGCATCTGGAAAGGAAACTTATTTCATAATGCCCAACCAGCCAATAAAGGTCATTTACCCAAAAATGTGATTTAGCTTAACACATTGTTCACCCATAGCCCCCAGCTGTCACTAACCACTAACCAACCAAGCCATAACCCCACCTTGTCTGAATTGCACCTGTCTGCTCAGGTCATATACACCCTGCTCAACCTGTGTGTGTCCATCCACAAAGGTCACGGGTCACAGCTGGACAACCACTCACTTTTCCTGGGAGTTTACATAATTTGAATGTTCAAACATGCCACACACACACAGGAGTACTCTTGAGGGAGATAATAACATGTTGCTGATGAACACACACACACCCAGGGTTCAGTGTATGAGTCCAGGCTGATAATGTCTCTATTGCTTAATATTGAGGGGGGCACTACTCCTGTGCTTTGCGCCAATACAATGACATTAACTTGGCTAGTCTAAGACTAGGCTAATGCAATTTCCATTGTGTACTACTCTCCATTGTCATAATGTCAACTTCCTGTTCTAGGCCAAGTCTGACCAAGGCACAAGGTCAGGCGATCAGGGTATTCATCGCCCCCCTCTATCCTACTTTTAGGATTAGGACTATGAGCTTTTCCTGACCAGGAACATTTTGTTATAAAACGAGTTACTACTAGATTACAAGTTACAACTAGTTCTAGCCTATAACTAAGGCCCAGAGTTTTTCCTCGTCGGGTCAATTCAAGTGGTCAGAAAACCCCCTGACCCTAGTTATGGGAAACAACAACTCTATCCTGATACTAGTTATGATAAACAACAAAATGTCAGCCTCGGCAGGCAATAAGTTCCTTCTATTGTCCGGAAAGCACAGTGGGCAGAGAGGCTGTACTTGCCCTGGAAACATGGTGATGATAATAGTGTCAGAAGAAGTGATGGCGTAGGACGTCCTCTTGCCCTGCTACTCGTAAACACTTTGGGTTACACTGTGAAGGAGTCTTCATCCTTCTCCCTGCTGAAGCTATTCTCATTAACCTCAAATATGGGTCACTCACAGATACTTATATAATAACAGATAATATATGCCATTTAGCAGACATGTTTATCCAAAGTGACTTACAGTCATGCTTGTATACATTTGATGTATGGGTAGCTCCGGGAATCGAACCCACAACCCTGGCGGTGCAAGTGACATGCTCTACCAACTGAGGCCATACAGGACCACTTCACAGATTGTCATGGATACTTCCAACTTGGCAGAGATGAGCAAATGGTCAAGCCTCAACGTCACACTAGTCATCCTCTCAGGTTATCTATAATGAACTATTAACTCTCTAGAGTTTGTTTCCACTTGAGTGTAGGAGTGCCCTAATACAATATCAAGGTGAATATACAGTATGTCCCCACTGTGTCATATTTATAGTGATCGCTGCTATGATGTTTGAGTGATTGGCGAGCTGTGAAATTGTCACTGTATTTCCTGTGAGGATGATACTACTACTAACGTGTAATTGTTTGACAGAGTTTTACTCCCGAGTTGAAAAACAGGACAGAAGGTCAAGGAGTGCTCTCGGGGTTCAGTTTGACACATACGTGAGATTGAAGTTCACAATAGGTGGGAATATAACACATCATGGGCCCCGTGTAGCTCAGTTGGTAGAGCATGGTGCTTGCAACGCCAGGGTTGTGGGTTCGTTTCCCACGTGGGACCAGTATGAAAAAATCATTGCCTTAACCCCTCTCTGGGACCCCCATGGTGAGCCCCTATTCAGGCTAGCACTCTGGGTGCTGGGGTGTGAGATTGCCTACTTTGCCCCTTGTTTACACCAGCCAAAAGCTCTCTTTCTCTCTGTTATCTCTCGTTCCCCCTATTTTTTTGTTGGCCCGCTCCAGGCCCCACCGACCCACAAACTAGGATGCTCCACTTAATGGGGCCGTCTTTATTATGTGTGAGGGACATGGGCTAGCTTGGTGTTGAATGGGTCTTTTTGTCACACATTGAAACGTGTCCTCGTCTTGGAAGTCAGGTTCTACGTAACTGAACTGGTGTTTTGAAGAGAGAGAAGGTAACAGGCCAGTAGCTAGAAGTGAGTCTGTTGAAAGCATTTGGTTAATGTGACCCAGCTTTGTGAAATGTCCCTGGAGAAAGTCCAGTCATATCTGTTGAAATGGAGGGAGTTAGAGGGGTGGAAGGAGAGCTGAATTTACATGCACGTTTTAGGGAGTAGGCGCTTAGTTGCTGTCATAGAATGAGGCAATAACGGCTGTGTGTCATGGAGATAAAGAGGGGATTGTGAATGAGTGACTCAGTGTATTTAAACACATTTACATTTTAATCATTTGTCAGACACTCTTATCCAGAGCGACTTACACACATTTTCATACTTATCTTTCGTACTGATCCCCTGTGGGAATCAAACCCATAACCCTTGCAAACACCATGTAAATGTACTTAAATAGATCGCCTGCCATGGCCTGCTAATGTGTTGACAATTGCTGTGGTTAGCTGTTAACTCACTATGTTTGAGAATGACATTCTTTTAGCTACATTTATTGCTTGTGTGTGTGACTTATTATTTTTACATTTTAGTCATTTAGCAGACGCTCTTATCCAGAGCGACTTACAGTTAGTGAGTGCATTTTTCATACTGGCCCCCCATTATGTTCTGTATCTCTCTTTACATGACTTTGTGTTGTTAGCATTTGGTGGTTGAGTGATTTATTCCCCCCCTGTGGTATGCTAGCTGACATAGGCCCTGTATTTTCACATGCCAAAAGGTTTGCAAAGCGCTGACTCAACATTCAAAACCTCACTACAAACACAAACTCACAGGCCTAAGCCGGGCCGCTGCAAAGCTGCAGGGCAAAACTGTGGTAAAATGTTCAAGGGGAGGCCCATTCGAATTGGACACAACACAAGGTGGCCATTTTAACCACCACATGTCATGTAATCTTCTCTGTGGTTTATTTGACAGGTTGCATTTAGACTAGTCTCCAGAAGATGACAAAGGGTCACATTTTAATCCCTGAGGTGGTCTGAAAAGGTTTTAACAGTGTGGTCGGTGCCATCTTTCCTCAATCCCCCCTCTAGTCAGGCACTTAGGCATTTCCTTGCTCTTGATTGGTCAAAAGGAGAAGTCATGTCTTAATGCAGGTTGAACAAGTTTGAGGGGAACAAACAAGCCCCACTACAAGTCAATAAATGGGATATTATATCTTTATTACAAATGGATTGTTTTGTATTTACCATAGGTAGTAGGCCTACTGGTAGACTACTAATGTTTGCTTTGCCTGCAAGTTGGTGTAACCAAAATCTTAACACATGCGGTATATAGTAGGCTAAATCTGTGCGGTGCCCCTAAAGTGAATGTGTGTGTGTGGGTGGGTGGGTGTGTGTGTGTGTGTGTGTGTGTGTTCTAGAAGGATTAGACAGGTTCTCTTGTGGTCTCTCCCTGCCACCTGCTATGTGTGGCTCTGCCAGATGTCACTGACAGACAGGTGGACATGTGGTGGAGGACAGAGGGACAATGCCACCCTTTTTCCCCTCTCTCTCGTGGTTCAGTACAAATCCACATGCTGCTCACATTCTCAAATCTCCTCTCAGATCTACTGGAGTAAACTATGGTTTACTAAGGGATAGGAGTTTTTCCAGACCACATGTCATGACAGGAAACCTCTGGACCTACAGCCAATAACTTGCTCAGGACCAATGTCAGTAAAAAATCCAGACAATCAAGTCTATGTATGGTGTGCAATAAGGTAGCCTAACTCCTTAGGTGCTTTTCCAGAAACTTCCTAGACACTTTATAGCCTATTCATGGTTAGAAAAAATGGTGAGAAAAGAGAGCCAGTGCAATTAAAACCATAGGTGAAAGTTAAAACTACAAATTAGTTTCATTATACCTCTGTAGTCTGTGTGTCTAGATGTATTGTAATGACTTGACTTAGTACATAGGGCCTATTGCAGTGTCAGGTCATGACATGTGTCACGTAGTTTATAACATGGTTTGATTTGTAGCTTGTGGACATGTGTCCTTCGTGGCACATGCTGGGTTGTGTCTGTAACCACACTGAAGCAGAGCATAGTCTCATATGACATGCCCTCTCTCCAACTGTGATCTGGCGTGTGTGTGGTTTGTAAAACAAGAGATTATGGAGTTGTGTGTGTGTGTGTGTGTGTGTGTGTGTGCGTACACACATCTGTGGGGGTAACACCAGTTCCCAGGGCAGACGTTCAATGTTCTGCTTGGTTCCCCCCCACTGCCACTGAGCTCATTATAATCTGGTCCTAATTTAGTATGTTGGATGGGAGTGGAGCGCGCCATTGCTGCAGTATGAGGGTGTTCTGAAGTCCTATTAATGATGTGTTCCGGAGGATTGAAAACGACCTCGTTATTTTTTAAACCTCCCATTTTGGAATCGGCGAGACTATGTATGGCTCATACATGCGTAATAAACCATCTGCAGTCCTCTTCCAGCAGGAGAAAGGCACAGAATCCTTACATTCTAACCTGCCATCACTTAGTACACGAGATACGCGCTCGTTCATGGCTACGTGATCTTACCATTAGTACATAGAATACATCCATCAATCCATACGTCCTAAATTAGAAAACATGTCGTTTAATTTCTCTCTTTCAATAGCCTACACTTCTCTGGAAGCAAGCAGAAAATGATGTGCGCTAAAGATGGAATTGTAGCCAGACAAATACATTAGAATACCATTTAGAATACCATTGTCAACCTGTTCAGAAACACTATGCTCACAACTTGAATCTCCTAAATGGTGTCACTGATGTATTTAGTTAGAATCTTGGAATATATTTGGAATATTGCTCAATAGACTAGGGTTTTTACCAGGCGCAAATCAAGGATAACACACATAGTTGATGCACTAGAGAAATGTACACTGCAAACTTTCACCCACTTTTTAGATAAGAAAATATCGCCCTACCTTTCTGTTTCAACCATCCATCCCAATCAAATATTTCCATGTGTCTGTCTACCTTTTGTCCAGTGATCATCATTCATCATGTAGACAAATACTAGTAGACAAATACTAGGCCTATATATACTCATTAGTGATGAGCGATTTGAGTATTTCTTGAGCTTGGTTCAGTTTCAGTTCGAGTATAAGAAAATAATCACTGTTTTCGATTTCGGTTTCTATATTAATGAAAAAACACAAAACATTCAATGCATTAAGTGGGTTGAATGCTGTAACAACACAGAATAAAACAATTAGGCCTAATAAAAGTCCCATGATGGTAGTCACTGCCCATTACTACTGATATATTGTTAATCGTTTATTCACATTACTTTACTTTAATTAAAAAATATGAAAGAATAATTCCAAGTCATCTCATTTCTATGCTGTCTGGCAGAATCACTATTTTAGTAGTTCTTCAAAGTAAAAAAAGGCATACGTTTATGACTGCTATCAACCAACTATCAATCACTTAGATCAGGGGTGTCAAACATCCGGCCCGTGGGCCGGATCAGGCCCGCAAACGGGTTTAATCCGGCCCGCGAGATGATTATTATTATTTTTTTTTTTTTTGTGTAAAGTATAAAAATGCGCTGCCATTTTTCAATAAAATAAACTGCTGTTCCAATTGCGTCCACTGGATGGCGCAATATCAATTGTGTTAAGCAAGCAAACTGTTTATACCGGGGCAGAGCAAGTAGGTCAAGCACGTGCAGCCAATGAGCTACTTTGTTTTGCCCGCGATATTTATTACGGCTTCTACTTTTAACATTATGTGCTTTGGCACCCTCATTGCCCCAATATGTCTCTGTCAAAAAATAGACAAGTGGACGCAGAGTGCAGAGTGTTCCAAGAAAAATGGTCATCCTATTTATTCACGGAATTGAATGGGAAAGCTGTATGTTTGGTGTGTTCAGAGCATGTTGCAGTGCTGAAAGAATATAACCTTCGTCGCCACTATGTGAGTCTTCATGCCGACAAATATGACAACTTTCAAGGACAGCGGAGATGAGAGAAGGTGAATGAACTGTTGGCGGGTCTGAAGAAACAGCAGTCTGTGTTTACTCACAGCCGAGACATCAGTGACGCTGCAGTGAAAGCTAGCTACCTCATTGCTAATGAAATCGCAGTGGCTTCAAAACCATTTAGTGAGGGTGAATTTGTAAAAACATGCATGATGAAGGCAGCGGAGATTGTGTGCCCTGAAAAGCGGCAGGCTTTTGCAAATATCAGCCTGACAAGAAACACAGTTTCAGACAGGATTTCCGATCTTTCAGTGGATTTGGACAGCCAGTTGAAGCAAAAAGTAAAGTCATTTATTGCGTTTTCGGTTGCAATTGATGAAAGCACGGACATTACAGATGTTGCACAACTGGCCATTTTCATCCGCGGAGTTGATGACACATTGACCGTCACCGAGGAGTTCGTGGAGTTGGTGCCGATGACAGCAGCTGATATTTTTACCGCACTCGTCGGCGCGCTGGACAGGGTCGGAGTGGAATGGTCCCGCGCTGTCAGCCTGGCTACAGATGGTGCGCCCTCAATGATCGGGAAAAAAGCAGGCGTTGTGACAAAGTTCAGAGAGAAAGTGCAATCTGCAAATGGAGGACGTGATTTTTTGACTTTTCACTGTATTTTGCACCAGGAGGCTTTGTGTTGCAAGTCATTAAAGATGGATAACGTCATGAAGGTGGTCATCCAAACTGTTAATTTCATCCGATCCAGAAGCCTGAATCACCGTCAGTTTGACAGCCTTCTCAGAGAGAAAGACCACATCTATGGCCTGCCATACCACACTGAGGTAAGATGGTTAAGCCGAGGTGCTGTGCTGAGGCGTTTCTTTGATTTACGAGAAGAAATTGAACAGTTCATGGAAGAAAAGGGCAAACCAGTGTTAGAATTTCATTCCGCAGAATGGATGCAGGACCTTGCATTTATGGTGGATGTTACAGAGCACCTGAATAACTTGAACAAACAGCTGCAAGGGCGCAACAAAGTTGTCACGCAGTATTATGACAGCATACGTTCTTTCAAGTTGAAGCTGTCATTGTGGGAGACGCAACTTGCCGGTGGTGATGCAGCTCACTTCCCCTGTCTGAAAAATGTGTGCGCGACCCAACATGTGGCAGACATGAAGCGGTTCAAAGATAAAATAACGGGACTGTTACGGGAGTTTGAGCAACGCTTTCAGATTTATGTTTATATGTTTTTATGTTGATGTGCTATTGTTTTTAATTGATTTTATTTTATTTGTATATTTAACCTATTCTTGACTCTGTGGTTCTTGCACTTGTTTGGGGAACAGGATTTCATTATTTTTATCTACATTTCTGCCTGAGAAATGACACCCTGATATAGTTCTGTGATCTGTGATATACTTCTGTGAATCACTGAGGCATTGTGTGTTTGTGTGTTCTTTGTCCTCAGAACTTTCAAATAACTTGAGGTGTTTTATGATTAATAGTGATGTTGTGCTTTTGGACACTGTCCTTAGGCTCCAGCTTTATGTTTATATGTTTTTATGTTGATGTGCTATTGTTTTTAATTGTTTTTATTTTATTTGTATATTTAACCTATTCTTGACTCTGTGGTTCTTGCACTTGTTTGGGGAACAGGATTTCATTATTTTTATCTACATTTCTGCCTGAGAAATGACACCCTGATATAGTTCTGTGATCTGTGAAACAGTTCTGTTAATCACTGAGGCATTGTGTGTTTGTGTGTTCTTTTTCTTTAGAATTTTCAAATAAACTTGACGTGTTTTATGATTAATAGTGATGTTGTGCTTGTACTATTTTGGACACACTGTCCTCAGGCTCCAGCTTTATGTTGTATGTTGATCGTATTAAAACAAAGAAAACAATCTGAAGTTGTTGTTTTTAAGTTATATATACCATGATTTTTCCGGTCCGGCCCACTTGGGAATAGATTTTCCTCCATGTGGCCCCTGAGCTAAAATGAGTTTGACACCCCTGACTTAGATCATCTATTTTCAGGTAGAGATACCTCGAGAAGCAACTGCTCTATATCCCCCTCTGTCTCTTTAGGTAGCGGGCATATAAATAAAAAAAGACAGACCTGACAAGTAGGCGCGCAATGGATTATGGTAATTGTAGTTAATTACCATGTTTTCTGCTCTAAACTATGTCGAATATTGGCCTGTTGGAAACTACAACTTCCTACTACATCGCACAGTTCAGGCTTGATCTGATTTATCTCTAGAGAAACGGCGCAATGTGTGCATTGAGCTCACAGAAAAAAACGGAATGAAATGGAATTCAAATAATTGAACCAACGTCAGTCAATTAGTTGTTTAAAAACCGAAAAAATATTCGAAATTTCCGTAAATCGTTCATCACTAATAAACATTACACGACTTTAAAGGAGTAGGTCATTTGATGCAAACATATACTGTAAGTAGGTTCCAACTTTTCCATGGTATAAATTACATTATCACAATCGCTTGCTTGCCATACTAGTCTGTACAACAACGGGAGTTAGCCACAACCAAGCCTGATAGACAATGTTGATTGGCAGGTGGCATTTCCACTGAGGTTGCAAGGTTAAAATTGGGAGGCGGGATCAGATCGGCACAGCATTGTCTAATAGAGCTCGCCAGCTTGTAGTACTAAAACCCGGAAATAAGTTACCTCTGGTCCGTTCAGCCATCCCATAGAACAAAACAAATAAGATCTCCTAAGCCTGTGTTTACCACAGACCTTATTTTCGGCGTTTATCCAAAAAACCTAAAAAAACGCCATTCATTTTCTCCATAGGCTTTATTCAACGAACCATGGCAGAGTTAGTGCCTACAAAAAGACGTCATTACTATTTCTCTCTGAGGTTGTGGGGTGCACAGCTAACGAACACAACAGGGTGTTTTTTTCTCTCCGTTCTCTTTGTGCACGCTACAAAGGCTCGAGAACAATAGCGTGCTGATGAAGTACACAGCTTTTGGCTCTTGAGCGCTACATTCAGAACTACTGGCTAAAAAAGTAGACAAAAGTACCGGAGAATCTTCTTAAAAGCATCACTGAGCCCCCTAACATGGTAGGGTCCTATCTGTGAGAGGGGTTAGAGAAGAAATGGGGCGAGATCGAGGAAATGGGAGAAGGATAAAAACAGAGAAAGAGGGAGGGAGGGAGGTGTGCTTGTACCCTCAAGAAGTAGGTACGAATTACATAGTGCGCTACCGTCTGGATGAAATCCTATGCCTCGTTAGGTAGTTCAGTCAGGAGTGTGGCCTTGCATAGTGGTGAATAAGTGTTCTTTTTCATTTCTGTGCCCCCATAACAGTGTGTATGATAGCAGTGGTCAACCCTAGTAGGCCAATCTGGCTGTGTGTGTGTATCATGGGGGAAAGGAGGAGTGAGGGGTTCATGGGGGGAAAGGAGGAGTGAGGGGTTCATGGGGGGACAGGAGGAGTGAGGGGTTCATGGGGGGACAGGAGGAGTGAGGGGTTCATGGGGGGACAGGAGGAGTGAGGGGTTCATGGGGGGACAGGAGGAGTGAGGGGTTCATGGGGGGACAGGAGGAGTGAGGGGTTCATGGGGGGACAGGAGGAGTGAGGGGATCATGGGGGGACAGGAGGAGTGAGGGGTTCATGGGGGGACAGGAGGAGTGAGGGGTTCATGGGGGGACAGGAGGAGTGAGGGGTTCATGGGGGGACAGGAGGAGTGAGGGGTTCATGGGGGGACAGGAGGAGTGAGGGGTTCATGGGGGGACAGGAGGAGTGAGGGGTTCATGGGGAAAGGAGGAGTGAGGGGTTCATGGGGAAAGGAGGAGTGAGGGGTTCATGGGGAAAGGAGGAGTGAGGGGTTCATGGGGACAGGAGGAGTGAGGGGTTCATGGGGGAAAGGTGGAGTGAGGGGTTCATGGGGGGAAAGGAGGAGTGAGGGGATCATGGGGGGAAAGGAGGAATGAGGGGTTCATGGGGGGGAAAGGAGGAGTGAGGGGTTCATGGGGGGGAAAGGAGGAGTGAGGGGTTCATGGGGGGAAAGGAGGAGTGAGGGGTTCATGGGGGGAAAGGAGGAGGAGGGGTTCATGGGGGAAAGGAGGAGTGAGGGGTTCATGGGGGAAAGGTGGAGTGAGGGGTTCATGGGGGGGACAGGAGGAGTGAGGGGTTCATGGGGGGGAAAGGAGGAGTGAGGGGTTCATGGGGGGACAGGAGGAGTGAGGGGTTCATGGGGGGAAAGGAGGAGTGAGGGGTTCATGGGGGGGAAAGGAGGAGTGAGGGGTTCATGGGGGACAGGAGGAGTGAGGGGTTCATGGGGGGACAGGAGGAGTGAGGGGTTCATGGGGGGAAAGGTGGAGTGAGGGGTTCATGGGGGGGAAAGGAGGAGTGAGGGGTTCATGGGGGGAAAGGAGGAGTGAGGGGTTCATGGGGGGGAAAGGAGGAGTGAGGGGTTCATGGGGGGACAGGAGGAGTGAGGGGATCATGGAGAAAGAAGGAGGAGGAGAAGAAAGGGGGATGTGGTCGGTGAGGGAGTGAGTCCATGGATTTCCTGGCGTTTGGCGAGCAGTGGGGCGGTTCCACACACACACACACATCAACACACACACTCCCCCCTTTAGAAGTGCTTCAGAATGTGATGGCCTTTGTCACTGCTCTTGAGACAACCGCCACAATTACGACTTGCCGCTTTTCAACAGCCACAATTAGCATTAGCAGACTGTATAGCCTAAGGCAGCACAGATCTCACGCTACAGTGGATGGGCTGTGCTTTATTCTATGGCCTGCTACCATCCTATCCTCATGATCTACAGCTCTATAGGACATTGTTGCATGTCAAGTGGACTTGTTAAGCATTCAAACTAGGGAATGGTTCCAATAGACTCCCTGCATCCTAATAATCCGTCCTTTCTCACAAAGTGTACACTTGTTCACTTCCCTTTAAACGGAAATGATTGGTTGGAGAAATATAGTGCAAAACTCTCAAGCCAATGCCTACGTCATCAGTTCAGTGATTTGAAATGTGTGGGGAGTAGTGAACGAGTGCACACTTCAGGAGAAAGGAGATATTATTGGGACACATGCTCCTTCTCAAGCTGTCTTTAACCTTTTTTCCCCCTGTTCTTTGTGCCCCCGCATAGGCCAAGAGGAAGCTGGACCTGGAGGACCCCCTGTACCTCCCAGACTTCAGGACCCCCAATGGAAAGGGGAGTGTGGCTGCAGCCAGAATCTCTAGTCCCAAAAGTGAGTCTGCATCAATGACAAAAACACTGCCCCCTACTGTCTTCATTATCAAATAAGGGATGGGTTGCGTAAAGCGAGACAACATAGTCATCCATCCATCCTTTATATCCTATAATATATATAATAAATATATAAATAAAAAAATAATTCAACACACAAGCCACATGCAGATCTTTTCCAATCCATAATACCGAGTTCACATATGTATATTCCACATTATTATTGAATACATACCCTTACACAAATCCACTCCTGCATTCTCTTACCACATCTCTTGTATGACCTATGACCCTCAGCGCCCAAGTCCCCCGGTGAGCGAACGCGCTACGACACCTCCCTGGGTCTGCTGACCAAGAAGTTTGTTGGCCTGCTGAGCCAGTCACCTGACGGCGTGCTGGACCTCAACTGGGCCACCGAGGTCCTCGAGGTGCAGAAGAGACGCATCTATGACATCACCAACGTGCTGGAGGGCGTGCAGCTCATCCGCAAGAAGTCCAAGAACAACATCCAGTGGATGTGAGTAGGACACTTAGGACAAGTGGACAAGTACACTCAGGAGAATATCACTCGGGACATGTAGACTTAGAACAAGTACACTTAGGATAAGTCGACACTTAGGATAAGTAACTACTCATTCTTCAGCTGTAGGAGGTGGGTCCAATTCCATATCAACTCCTTAGCCCCTACTCCTTGGTGCAATATTGATAGGTCCACCTTGCTCTGTAATCTAAAGACGATAATTTTTTAAGTGTTGAATGTTCCAACTTCACCTCTAACCATGATCCATCTATACCATGATGTACAATGTATATCCTCTGTAGTGGCTCATCATCAATACAAAATAAATAACTGTTTTATCAGGGTGGGTGGCGTGTTCGAGGGCTCGGCCAGCGGCGGGGAGAAGTCATGCGCCCTGAGGAAGGAGCTGGGAGAGCTGGAGAGGGCCGAGAAGGCCCTGGAAGACCTGATCACGTCCAGTAGCACCCAGCTCAAGGAGCTGACCGAACACAGGGAGAACCAGCAGCTAGGCTACGTCACCTACCAGGACATCAGGTCTATAGGCAGCCTGCAGGACCAGACGGTCATCGCCGTCAAGGCCCCCTCAGAAACCAAGCTGGAGGTACCTGAGTCCTCAGGGGTGAGTGGTCATCAAGTCATAGATAGAGAGCTGCTCTGGGTTGTGTTCATTTGGGCACACTGTAGCAAAACATTTTGCAACGGACAAAATACATTGCTTTTCTTCTTGGACAAGTTCAGTTAGTACCTGACCGTTTGACAAATGTTTTCTGCCCACTGAACAGCGGCACAATACAGCTGTTTAAACAGACATGAAAAAGGACACAGTGACTATTCCAGGGATTGACATTAAGGGTTGCCCTATTGCCTGGGGGCAAGTTACCTGGGTGTGCACGTTGAGTCTGCTCTGTGGTTGCCCCATTGGACAAGTGATTTTTAATTAGTGATAACAACCAAAATGCAAAGAATTACAGTAGGCTGGTACTTTACAAATCCGGGCAAGTCATCATACTCTTCGGGCAGCCCAAAAAAGACTCCTGACCTGCCCAATCCCTGTACCTCTTCCTTACAAGGATATGCTACTCTTACTAAGCCAATAATAGATGGCCTTCTCTTGTATAACAAAGAAAGACACTTTACCCTTTTGACATTTCCAAACCGAGCCCATTATCCCTCTCTTTCCATAGTGCATCATTGTAACATCTTCCTATTGTCCTTTATCCACAGGGCCCCCAACAGATCTACCTGAAGAGTAAGAACGGGCCCATCGAGGTGTACCTCTGTCCCGAGGAGGGTCTGGAGGATGCCAGCCCCGTCAAGAGCACCACCACCCCCAGGAAAGACTACCCTCATCCCCCCTTGGGTCACACTGCCACCCCCTCCCCCGTCATGGCACCACCACAGTACACCACTATCAAACAGGAGCCCCAATACACCAACGTCAAGCAGGAGCCCATGGAAGGTAAGCTGAGCTGGGGCTCTTTTCTGATACGGCTGATCAGTGATCTGAAAAGTTCTGAAAGTTGCAGATAGCAATAGAATGAATAGACCTGAGACGATTCCCAATTATACATGACAGACAGTCGCAGCTGTTCTACACAATAGCGTTCTGTAACGTTACACCCTCCTCTAAACAGTCCTGTGTGTTGTAAGGGGTGTCCAGTCACCCTCTCTCCCTCTCCGCCCTCCCTATAGCTGAACTCTCTAGACCTGCACCAGTATCCCTCCCCAACACCTCCAGCACCAACACCACCACCCTCCTGGATGTTGAGGGCCTCCTGGGCCTTCCCCCCAGCCTGCTCCAGATGACAGAGGACCAGCTCCCGGGCCCTGGGTTCACCCCCGACTCCAACGCCCTCTTCGTCAGCTTCTCGCCGCACCTCGACCACGACGACTACCTCTGGGGGCTGGAGGACGGCGAGGGCGTGTCTGACATCTTCGACACCTATGACCTGGGAGACCTGCTCCAGAGCTGAGAGATGGAGGGAGGGGGAGGGCATATGGGAGGGGGGGGGGGGGGGGGCTGGCTGTGGTTATAGCCTAGATATGACCACGTTACCTGACCTTAAGCAACTCTTAGCCCTAGTTATTATATAGGCTATAACTGGTCAGGGAAAACTCCTGTCCCTATTCATGAAGGAGTAGTGTCCTCTGTAGAGGTATGGGGTGGGGGGAAATGTTACACTATGAAGCCATCAACCTTTGCTTTAGCCATGTCTGTTCCATGTTAATGATTTGTCTAAAACGGGCCCCTTTATGGGCTCGCACCTTGTGTCAGTTCATTTGTATATCTATTTGTATACTTTTTGGGTTTGGATTTAGGGTAGTGCCTGGATTGACACTGGTGTGTGTGTGTTTGTGTGCACTGTGTGTGTCCAGCTTATGAAGCTCTCAGCATTGTGGTTTGTGTATAGTGGACAGTTTGTGTCCGTCTCATTTCTATTCTGTGTGAAAATATAGACACAGCACATTTTTTATGCATATCTGATGACCAGCAAAAAAAACAACTGGGGCATTTTGGGTAGGGGGTGTTATATTAATAACTCAGGATTTCAGTGTCTTTTCAAAAGTCAATTTTCTTACAGTGCCTATCTTTGGCCATTAGGGGGCAGCATTGTATTATGTCAGCTTTAGAGGATTGACTCAATCGCTGTATGTTTTACAACCGAAGTGAAATGGGGAGGTACTACTGAACGTCTCCAATAAGAACACAGATTTTCTTTGTCCGTTGCAAAACGTATTCAAATGTTGTGCCCTCCTGAACACGACCCAGATACCAAACATGGAGTCTGTGGCGCTAACTTAATGTGAAGTTTCAACAAGGTGTAGGAGTATGGGTAGTGTAGTTGTCAGGTATTCCCAAGATATCTGTTTATATTGGGGACCTGACCTGGTCACTACCTCGAGCCTCAAGCTTTATGGAAGGTCAGGTGGTGAAGTATTCTGTTTCCCATGATAGAATGTGTCCACATCACATCATAGAGCACAGCTGTCAAACTCATTCCATGGAGTATCTGCAGGTTTTCACTCCTCCCTTGTACTTGATTGGAGGAATTAAGGTCACCAATTAGTTACAAACTCCCCTCACCTGGTTGTCTAGGTCTTAATTGGACAAAAATCTAATGAAAGAAAATAACTAAAACCAGCAGACACTCGGCCCTCCATGGAATGAGTTTGACACCCCTGTTACATAGAGGTTAGTTAAAAGCTGTTCTGGACCCATAGCCAAAGACACAGGGGTTGCATCCCAAATTGTGCCCTATATAGCGCACTGCTTTTGACCAGAGGTCATAGGGAATAGTGTTCCATTTGGGATGCAGCCAGGGTCTTTTTAGTGACTGATATTATCTATCTACTGAGTGATCCCTAATTTATGTGACTGACTAGAGTGTCATGCCTTGCTCTTGTGAATCGGTAGCTAGGTGTCACATCGTGAAGCTTCTCTATCAAGATGCATTTGATAGTGTTTTGTAGTATTTAGACTTTGTAGTATCAAATGACTATATATTTCCAAGGAAATAATCCAATAAGGGTAATAACATGCAACGAAATCTGGGTTTTTAATGGGTGTTTTGATTTAGGCAGTAATTAAGATAAACTGGAGGGCAATTTTAATTTCCAACTTCTTTTGAAACTAGATGAAGTCTTTGATTAAATGGTGGTCTGTGTGTTGTTGAACACTTGCCTTGCACCCATAATAGAGAACAAAGAGCACTTTGTGTCTTTTTCTTATGAAGGCTTGGACCCATGTGTGTGGTAGTTTAAACCTGGGAGAAAAGAGCCAAATGACACACCAAGGTCAAAGTTGTCTCCTTCTGTCTTTTAGACTGGGTTGTGTTCATTAGGCACCAAACCGAACAAAAAGGACCGAAACACGGAGGGACTACCTGGACCATTGTGGGCACTAATGAACACCAGTCTAGAAGTTTAAAAGATTCGGACACATCTCAGGATGTTTTTAAGCGTGAATTCCGTGTTGGTGCATTTTCTGCCTCTTCCCACAATGCGGGTTAAGTCAATTTTGTAAGTCGCTCTGGATAAGAGCGTCTGCTAAATGACTTAAATGTAAACGTAATTGTCCTGTCCTAACAAACTTGAATATTTTGTGTGCGTGTGTGTGGAAGGTTGGGAAATGGGTGTTTTTTAAAGTTGTAGATTTTTAGACAATTTGAATACAAAAATCGTTTATTTTTTATTGTGCATAATGTTTGTAACTGTACAGAATTTAATTTGTATTTATGTTTTTAATACTGACCATTGTAAAAGAGCAACTGTCTCTGTTTGACATGCGGCACTTAATATGAATAATATGAAATGAATAAAGTATTGAAGCCATGGTGTAAACTTGCGATTCTGTCTATTTCCTATGACATCATTCACTGATTTCTCATGGTAGGCAGCGCCAGTAGTCTTCGCAGTTCTCCAATGTAGGTCAATACCACATTGTTCTCTTCTGTCTGGAAATCAGCAAACTCTCATTTCCAGGGTGTGCTTGGTTAAGTCCGATCGTAAACCAAACTGTTTTCATAAGAGTGAGTTTATTAGAACCACCTATTTTTTTTTGGGGGGGGGGGGGTTATGAGCTAATAAGTAATCCTGTTCAGACTAGCTTCAAATTAATCCTCAAAGCAGAGAATTCTGGCTAATATGGTAACAGATTCAAACACAAACCTCAGTATCAACATAGACTTGAATACAAATGTACTACAATAATGCTGCAGCATATCCAGTATAGCTTTCTTAGCTCCACAACATCATGTGGCATTCTATTCCCTGTGTCATTCTATTCCCTGTGTCATTCTATTCCCTGTGGCATTCTATTCCCTGTGTCATTCTATTCCCTGTGTCATTCTATTCACTGTGTCATTCTATTCCCTGTGTCATTCTATTCCCCGTGGCATTCTATTCCCTGTGGCATTCTATTCCATGTGTCATTCTATTCCCTGTGGCATTCTATTCCCTGTGGCATTCTATTCCCTGTGGCATTCTATTCCCTGTGGCATTCTATTCCCTGTGTCATTCTATTCCCTGTGGCATTCTATTCCCTATAGTACCATCCTTATCCTCTATGTATTTCTATTGGCCAGAGCCCATTAAATGGGACCCTATTTCTTATATATTGGCCAAAAGTAGTGAATTATAGGGAATAAGATGCTGTTCCAGATCTAGCCCATTAGTTTTTTTGTTTTAACATGTCACTATTTGGGAATCTCTCTCCAATCCAATCTGTGTTAGAATTTGGCAGAGGAACTGAGGACGTGTCTAGGCAGATTGATGCAATGAATTGTGACATTCCCATGGCTTGACTGAACAGAGCAACACGAGCAATGACAATAACACTGATGCAGCTATACATTTACACCCCGGCAGGTGGACAAAAACACAAAAAAACACAGAGTCATTCTTTGGTCTTTGAAGGTTGTTGGGGCAACCTGAGGACAATAGATAGCGGATGAAGCTAAGGTCAATGGGTCAGGGGTTAGGGGTCATGATGGAGCTGGACACAATGGAATTCTCCGGCCATGGTAGCCAAGTAACCTCGGGCCAATAAGCCTTTCTTTCACTGCTAAGAAAGCGCTAAGATGAAATGTGTATTTGATTGGTGTCATTCTAAGTGTGTTTCTGTGTTGGGCAGATTCCTAACTGCTATCATTCTCTCTCCAAAGACAATGAAAAGCATCAAAGTATAGATAGAAGTTTCTCCTGTAAGGGAAGCACAATCTAGCCTGAGCCATCTGCCTAGCTCTGAATGGCTGGCAGCTAACGAAACAAGTCCTGGCGTGTTTGTCCCACTGGTGTGCAATGGAGAGGATGAAGGAGAAGGAAAAGCCCAGAAATAAACACGGATTCTGGAAAAGGAAACTAATTCTGGTGGTCTCATTCACCAGTCGTGTCTTATAGGCCTTTGTGAGTATGAGAGACTTACAGTGAGGGAAAAAAGTATTTGATCCCCTGCTGATTTTGTACATTTGCCCACTGACAAAGACATGATCAGTCTATAATTTTAATGATAGGTTTATTTTAACAGTGAGAGACAGAATAAGAATATGTGTATGTGACCAATAAAATATGATTTGACTTGATTTTGACCCAACAAAGTAAAAAACATATTTCTTGTCACAAGCCAGACTTTAGCCACAACCCAGAAGGGACTTTCTTCAGACTGCTACTAGGGAAAATCTAGATGTCATTTAATTTGTAAACATGATTGTCTGGTTTAAAAATCCAATTGGCAGCCACCGTTGAAAGTTTCAGGTGTGTGAGGATCTCACTCAGGTTGGGTGTTGATTGCCTTGAGACAGTGACTGACAGTGACACCCTCTGAAGGAAATTTAACGGAGGAGGACAAAAACAGACACACGTTTCTATTTATATGACTTAATCGCTTTTATAATGACTATTCTTTTCCTTTTTTTTGTATTTTATTTAGGGGGTAGATCAGCTTTAATATTGCAGATAGATTGTAACTTCCATCAATGTAATTGTTTGGATCACTTCCAATCCCCAATACGTTTTTTTTCTCGCAAATATATATATATATATACATATTGTCATGACTTCGGCCGAGGCTGCCTCCCCTCCTTGTTCGGGCAGGCTTCGGCGTTCGTCGTCACCGGAGTACTAACCACTGCCGCCCCAATCATCATCACAATTGTCTTGTCTCGTTATCACACACACCTGGTTCTAATCCCCTAATTAGTCCGTGTATAAGTGTTCCCTCTGCACCCTTGTCCTTGTGGGTGATTGTTTATTGTGAAGGTTAGTGAAGCTCGGTGGAGCTCGTGTAGTTTGTTCGATGGGAGTATTTTGTATTGTATTTTCCTGTTTTGTGCCCTGGAGTGTGTTTGACGCATTTCTGCGTAACCCTGTATTTTTGCGGATTAAAGCATGTTATTCTTGTCACGATCGTCGGATACAGCGGATTGCTCTAGCTCCGGCGTGGAGCAGCTGAACAGGAACAGGCCGGACCGGGCTG